GGAATAAATCAGCAAGAGCAATTATTTGGCCAAATTTCTCTCATTCCTACACAAATTTACAAGCAAACTCATCTTTCAACTTTGTTAACGTAATGTTGACCTTAAGCTAAAGCTAAAATCTTGTCAAATTCTGATAATAAATTTTGCTAGAGGTGTGATAGACAATTATGGACGTAGTCATCAAGGGTCCTATATCATTAAATATTTACAACAAGGACTCGTCATTTTACTCGCTTGAACTATTACTAATCTTTGTTTAAATTTTGTTCTTACTAGAATACAACATTAACTAACTAGATAAAAATAACCTTACTAGATAAAAGATAAGGGATGAGGTATGATTGCTAATGAGACAAATATCAATCGAGATCAAAGAATGCGATTTTCGTTCTCGTGTTGAAGTCCGCCTACAACACTTGGGTGAAACTCTAAACCTGGAAGAAACTGGGGAGTTCTCTTGCAATGGAATAGGTTGGCGGTTAACAATTCTCTATCGATTTGGTGACATCAAATATCTCGGCAAAGAACTCAACCATATCACTCGAGTCTGTCATATCTTATGCCTTTTGTCTTTGAGCATTCAAATTTGTCTTAATGTAATCAATTTCACTTTGTTCGTTTTGAGTTGTCCTGTCAAATTTCGTAATCTCTTCATCAACTTCAGAAACAAGCTTCCATGCACATTCATCAACTTCACTTTTAATAAGTATTGCGCGGTCACGGATGTTTTCTCGTATGTTTGAAAGTCTTGAGTTTTCCTCTCTTATGATGTGATCTAAATTTTTGCCTCACCTTGCTAATTCCTTGTTGTCGTTTTCTGCTTTCCCTTGTCCACAGTGCAGTTGTTCAACTTGAAGTTGATATACGTCCTACTATATAGTGTTTCTTGTGTACTCTTGTAACACAGGTCGGACATGATGCTTGTTCATGTGTGCTACAGAATAAGCAAGCTGTTTGAGTCGGATGATGCTTACAGTTTATACTTCTAAAATCCTTCAATTCTAAAGACTGCTGGGGCCCCAAACTTCTTATATTTACGATAGTGTGGTCATGAGCTCTTTTTGCCATTACGTGAAGTTTATTAGAACAATTTGCACACAATAAAGGTTTGTATTCCAGGTATTTTTTTGTAATTTTGCTATTATTTTCACAGAATCGGCAGAGAACTAGAGTCTGTCCTTTTTCTAATGACCTCGAGAGGGCCATTTTGAAATCTAGTATTATTATGAAATGTGATTATCTATCCAAGCACATAAGTTAAACTATGCATGGTAAATGTTTGCGATGGTGTGGTCGTCAGATCCGTTTTCCATTACGAAAAGTTTCATAAGTAAATTTAAACACAATAATAATTTCATTCCAAGTATTTGGAGATAATGTTGTTATCGTTTTAGAGAACTAACACAGGACTAGCGTATACCTTTCATAGAAATATTGTTTTGAATAGTATCACAACCAATTGAAGTGTTCGAATCCAACCAGGAAGTTAAGCTACACTCCCTAATCATACCCTATTCATTGTTGTTCCAAATCTATTCAATGTTTTCTTTATAATTCAACTAAATAGACATAATACTTAGATAACAAAGAGTGAGGCCCCTATTAGGTAAATGAAATAAAATGAAATCTATTGAAATCAATCATTTTATATTTTTATTCTTATCACCACGATTTACAATATAGTTTATTTACTATGATTTATAAACGTGAAGACTGGTATTTTTATATTGGTATTACTACAGCCAATCTTGTCATGATCAAGTATCTCTACATAGGGTCTTTTTGGCATTTTTGTGTGTAACAAGAGGCTTACCGGTCAAAAACATATCGTGTAATGCTGAGCATTGTTTTATGATTACAATTTCTACCCATCTATAATAAATAGTTTTTGAGATAAAAAGCAAAAACTAGAATATGTCAAAATTCGTCAATTAAGGGCAATGGCTCTTATAAGCAATGGCTCTTATCCAATGTTGTTTTTTTTTTCTCATATAAGAATTTTACTGTTGCTGATCAAATGTTGTTGTTTACAGTTTCTACCTACATTTAATATATTTGGGAAAAAAATTGGGCTAAATTAGCAACAAAAATAATTTAAAACTCGTGATTTGATTTGCTTACTTGTTACAACTGAATATAATCAAGCTGTAGACAAAAATTTTAAATAATCCCTTCAGTAAAGTTTGACGAAAATTTCCCTTGTACAAATAGTTATTTACAATTTCAAACTGTCGACAAACACAAACTAGCTGTACAGTGGATGTAAAAATTGCTTACTCACTACAACTCAACACTATGAAACTGTAGACAAAATGTTAATCATTCCCTTCAATAGGAGACAAGAAAGGTTTTACGAAAATTTTCCTTGTACAATGAGTGCTATAACATATCAAACTATCAGCAAACAGGAAGTGGATGGACATTGGATGTACAAATTGCTTAATCACTAAAACTCAACATTATGAAGCTGCAGACCAAATATTAAATCATTCTCTTTGATAGGAGCCAAGAGAAGTTTTACGAAACGTTTCCTTGTACAATGAGTGTTGTAAAAGAGAGGAGAAAGATACCAAAGGGATATTAAAACTCACAAGTCGAAAACAAACTGACGATTGCAAAAAAAACGGCAAACGACGAAAAGACAAACAAAAGTGAACAAAACACAACATAGACAACTAAAGACGGAGCAACACGTACCCAACCGAAACCGGGGGTGATCTCGGGGACTCCTGAAAGGGTAACAGATACTGTTCCGCATGTGGCACCCGTCGTGAAAATTATCAAACGATCGGCAAACAGGAAATGGCTGCATAGAGGATGTAAAAGTTGCTTACTCGCTACAATTCAATATTATCAAACTGCAGACCAAATATTGAATCATTCCCTTTCACGAAGGTTTCTACCCAAGGTCTTTCGAACGGACGGAGGGAGTCGATCGGTTACTAGAGTTGCTTTCGACCTTGATGACGCAGGTAAAACTTTGAGGTGTTATATCATGATTCTTGCAAAGTAGATATAAATAATTATAATTTACTTCTTGGATAAGAACATCACTTTGATATAACCATGCAGTTATTAATATTTACTGGAGAATCTTCCTGGCCTTTTGATTGGTTGATGACAGACCATGTGACAATGTCGGCGAATGACAATACTAACCACTCAGCAGATCTATAAGAGCAAAAAGACTTTAATTTCTTCAAGTAAACTCATATATAACAAAAAAGGGAAAAGCCCGTCCCCCCCCCCCCCCCCTCAGGCCCCACCTTTCTCCCCGTTCACAAATGACAAAACAGTTCTATAAGTTTTAATCTGGAGCAGGTTTGTCATTTTCTGACATATTTTTTATATCGTTGTGCATTTCCGTTTAATATCTAGTTTCAGAGTCCTTGTCTCCTTCCACACAGTTGTTGAAAGTGCTAAATATGGACGATATATTTTTATTTAAGACGAACGAATTTTTTTTTGGAATGCCAATTTTAAAGCTCGTGGATTTTTGTGATTTTGAGGAGCATTTAGTTGGGTTTTTTTTCCATTCCTAAATATCATGAATTATCATAAAAGTAGACTTGTAAAAATTAAGAAAATTGAAAAAGAAAAACCGAAAAAATTTAATTAAGATCACAACTATGAAAAAGGTACACGTAGTAGGTAGTGCAGTTAAAAAAAAACTAATAAAAACTGCCATCAAGTGCCCGACAGAAAACAAAAGACTTCTTTGTAAAACCACTGAATGGAGCAAAAATAATATATGATAATAAAATAAATGTGATAAAAGAAAATTAGAGCTAAACAACCAATTTAAACTGTAAAATAGAAGGGCATACACCAAAAGAACGGGGATACATTCTAATGCATCCACACAGCACAAGCGACAATCCCTGCAACCAATATAAAAATAGGGAGATTTGAATGATTCACTCCAGATACCACAGAACAAAGATGCATGTGAAAAACTACAGGTAATTCTTTCTGTGGACTTTGCGATATATCACGTTAAAATTTGCCTAATTGGATTTAAATAGCAGGTAAGCAGCAACCATCAATTAATTAATAAATCAAAATTAACTACAAGCTGACAGCTTATAAAAAAAAAGCAAATAAGGAAAACAATAACATGAAATAACTCTCTTCGTCCACAAAATCTTCATCTAGCAAAATGTTGAATTTAACTAAATGTAAATATTGAGATAAGTCTATATATTTAAAACTTTTCTGAAGTTTACTTTCAATTTACTGATATAATTACAATTTTCATCTTTATATAATAAACAACACACTTTAATTGAAGGTTCTTTCCTATATTTTTTTCCTGCGATATATCCTTTTCTCCTAATGTGACGTAAGGTAACAACAATCAATCAATCAGTTTAAGTTTAACATTCTTGCTCTATATAATTTTTATGATATAGTAACTCAACTATTTATTTATTACAGTATCTATATTTGGCTTAGAATAGTGTTCATGTCACTTATATGATCGGGTAAACATGTGCAGATCAGAGATTAATTCATTTTGAGAGGAGAGGGCAACTACTACCTTCCTGGATCAACACCAGGTATAAATATCTCTCTCTCTCTCTCTCTCTCGTTTTCTTTATCGGTGGACTTGTATGATGTCTAGTGTATTTGTCTTTATTTCTATATTGGTATAATTCATTATCAATAAAACGTTTCAGTTCAAATGTTTTCAAATGCGATATGGTCCGGACTGTACGTGCATGGTTCCAATACTCATATAGTCTGGTTTCAATATTGGAAAAATAACGTAACATCAACTTTTTCAATGTCATAAGGAATGTATTTAAGCAATGTTACATTTCATTAAAATTGATTTCAAACAGTTTGGCTTTTTTATTACTTGTACGTAATATTGTTCCTCCAATGTAAAAATGTCCCATCGAAGAAAAAGTCATTGAAAATGGAAGGTCTATCCCAATGTCTCTAGTATCGTAATATGTAAGTAGCTTTCCAGAATTGTTGAAGATATGAAGTGATACATCAGGATCATCACAGTCCGTTATAATAATGTTGTCAGCTTCCGTTGCCACTATTGCTCTTGGAACGAAATCTTGTCCTTTCCGGCCATTGTATATATCTATAACGCTTCCGTCGTCTTGTTTTAAAACAACCAATCTTCTGTCCAGAATGAAAATATTTCCATTGGTCGTACTCGATATTCCCCACGGATGTGTGAACAATCGTTTCCCTTTTTTGTTGAACTCAAATGTAGAAGATATGTTTCCCTCCATGTCCATGAGTATGACTACTCGTTGCCCGGATGCTGGATATAGCGGTCCTTTACCTTTTGCGCCGATGGCTAACTTATTATCCTTAGTTAAATGGATGCATTTTGGTTCTAGTGGGCTTACTGTAAAACGAGAATCAAGCATCTCGTCGCTGTTTTCTATGATGATTTTGAGCGTCTCTTCGTCGGTTGATAGCAGCAGGCCATAACCAGGAATGCAAACAATACCATAAACCATCAAATTTACTCTTGATACAATTTCAAGGCCTTTTTCACCAGGTTTTACTCTTTTCATCACATTTTGATCTATATTATTACTATACCACAATGAATTGTCAGAACCTGCGGTAAGAAACTGTACAACATCTTCTTCAGAAACATATTTCTTGTTTATTTCCATCTTCAGTTTATATTCAAGATTTTCGTTCTCGTGTTGAAGTACGCCTACAACACTTGGGTGAAACTCTAAGCCTGGAAGAAAGTGAAGTTCTCTTGTAATTGAATAGGTTGGCGGTAAACATTCCTCTATCGATTTGGTGACATCAACTATCTTAGCAAAGAACTCAACCATATCACTCGAGTCTGCCATATCTTGTGCCTTTTGTCTTTGAGCATTCAGATTTGTCTTAATGTTCTCAATTTGATTTTGTTCGTTTTGAAATGTCCTGTCAAATTTTGTATTCTCTGCATCAACTTCAGAAATAAGCTTACATACACATTCATCAACTTCACTTTTTATAAGTATTGCGCGGTCACGGATGCTTTCTCGTATGTTTGAAAGTCTTGAGTTTTCCTCTATTTTGATGTGATCTAAATTTTTGCCTCTCTTTGCTAATTCCTTGTAGTCGTTATCTACTTTCCCTTGCCCACAGTGCAGTCGTTCAATTTTAAGTTGATATATATCCTGAAATTCTATTATATTGTGTTTCTTGTGCACTTTTGTAACACAGGTCGGACATGCTGCTTGCTCGCATGTGCTACAGAATAAGCAGGCTGTTTGAGTTGGATGTTGCTTACATTTTATACTTCTAAAATCCTTTAATTCTACAGAATGTTGGGGCCCCAAACTTCTTATATTTACGATAGTGTGGTCGCCAGCTCCTTTTACCATTGCGTGAAGTTTATTAGAACATTTCGCACACAGTAATAGTTTGCAGTCCAGGCATTTGTTTGTAATCTTGCTATCATTTTCACAGAACTGGCAGAGAACTAGAGTCTGTCCTTTTTCTAATGACCTCGAGAGGGCCATTTTGAAATCTAGTACTATTGTAAAATGTGCTTATCTATCCAAACATATAAGTTAAACTATTGTAAATACTTGCGATAGTGTGGTCGTCAGATCTGTTTACCATTACGAGAAGTTTTCTAAGACAATTTAAACACAATAATAATTTTCAGTCCAGGTATTTGTAAATTATGTTGTTATCGTTTTACAGAACTTACACAGCAATAACGCATATCTCTTATCTAATTACTTCGAGACTGTCGTTTTAAATATTATACTGCAAGTATGCGAATCAAGTAAATAAATTAGGTAAAACTATTTTAAATACGTCCTGATCAAAACCTTATTCAATTTTGTGATTCAGTAATGCTTCAATTCTATTTCCCTATGCCTTTACAATTCAAACAAGTTGGTATCAATTCTCAAATTACAAAAGAGGCCTCTCTTGCGTAAAAAACAATTAATTTGTTGATTACAATTATTTTATTTTGTTATTTTATTATCACGATTTACAATTTATTTTATTTACTAAACAAGTATTATCGTTTATATAAATATACACAGTTGATTTCCGTTGCTTTATGGATCTTATATAATTGATTTCATTTTTGTTCAAGATTTATGAAAGTCAACAATTTTAAGGTTATCTCCAACTTATATTATTGTTTATCAGATAGTTTCCTCAAATAACCAGGTCCAATCTAAATAGTTCATCAAAGAATAAACCAGAAACAGATTTTTACTCGAATGGCCATCATTTTACTATGTTTATGTTTAGAAAGGAAAATACTTAAAATATGCAAGTTTGTCCATATTGTCTAGGATTATTAATTTAACGATTTTTTTTATTTAAAAGAGTTAATGAATAACAGATTCTATCTTTTTCAACTTTAAATGTTTATTTGTCAAGGAAAATTTGAGCAGCTGTTAAACGTAATGTTAAAGATTTGGAAAAGCTACAATTTTTTTGTATTTGTATGGAATACCAAAAAGACTGCATTGTTAAAAAACAAAAAAAAAATACCTCATTAGGCACCATGCTTATAATTTTGCGCGTCTCACGCGCTTTTCATCTTGAAATTACTCAAATCAAAATGGAAATATGCCAAATAAATTACCAAGATGAAGAGCATTGAGGACCCGTAACTCGGAAATGTTTTGTCAAATACAGCAAAGGTGAACTACTATTGCACACTAATGACAATGTTTCTTTTGGAATACACATCAGAACACACCAGAACATAAAATAAGTAGAGGAATATCCTAGGCGCACAATTTGGATGTTATTGTGCGATCTAGTTTTGAGAAGCTGTATGTTTCTAGTATGGCTTTATGTTCCACTGTTGTAGTCATATCTTATTTCAGTACTAGCGTGGTATTCAAAATAGCAAAAACTCATGTAGGATCATCCCAGATACATTGTGTTTAGATATGCGAGACATCTTATGAGGAAAAGCTTTGTTTATGTATATCTCATAGTTTTATTTTAAACTGTGTCTAGTTGTGTTGGCAATCTTGAATTTGGATTGGCTACAAACTAAAAATTTGTATCAGGCTGTTTTTAGATCAAGGTGAATTTATACATAGAAGGAGCATAAACTAAAATTTTATTGTGTTTTTTAGAAACTTTTCACATGCCCCTAGACTCCCATGCTTTGGTTGAAATTATCTAAAAGATTTTTTTTCAAATATAATTTTATTTTTTTAATCAATTAATAAATTCAATTGATTGTTCAATGATTATAGATTTCTACGAGAGAGAAAAGAAATATGAAGAATACAAACTTAATACCATGACTATAGTATTTGTTGCATGATCAATTATGTCAAAATATTTTTTTTTTTTAATAAAGTTATAAATGAATCTTAATGGAAAATGTAGATGAAAACAGAAGCATGTAGTTTTCACATCATGGTATAAAAATATAGCAGTGTTGTCCTTACCGAAAATTTGGACTTAGTAAATAAGTAAATAACGCAATTCAATTCTAGAAGTCAGTTAGGTCTTGTGAGTCTCGTCCTTTTACATAAATATTATCTATAAATTAATGACAATTTGTACTTGGTACTCTAAAGTAGGCAGTACAGGTTTATAAACCTGACATCATACATGTATTGCAATAAGCATTTTGTATGTATTTAATTATGCTTTCTTGTATTGGCTGTCTGGCAGATAAAGACCAGTTATGTTCTCATATATTTTGTGATGGAATGATACTAACTCCTAACGGAAGGGATTGTCCTGGATTTTCATATAATGAAGACATACTCTTTCAATCAGTTTAATTAAGGTCTGGAGCTGGCATGTCAGTAACTGCTAGTAGTCCCTTGTTAATTTGTGCATCATTGTCATTTTGCTAAGTTTCTTTTGTTACCTATTCTGCATGACATTGGACTCGAACTTCTTTTAAACCGAGTTCTACTGTGCGTATTGCTGTGTGTTTGTTTCTTCTACATTGGCTAGACGTATAGGGGGAGGGTTGATATATCACAAATAAAATTGAGAATGGAAATGGGGAATATGTTAAAGAGACAACAACCCGACCCAAAAGCAGATAACACATGTTTAACCCCGCCGCATTTGTGCGCCTGTTCCAAGTCAGGAGTCTCTGGTTTTTGTTAGTCTTGTATGTTTTTAATCGTAAGTTCATTTTTATGTTTTGGAGTTTGAACTAGTACATATTTTGTTTAGGGGCCATCTGTAGCCCGCCTCTGGGTAAGGGATTTTCTCGCTTTGTTGAAGACCTATTGGTGGCCTTCGACTGCTTTGTGCTCTTTTGTCGGGTTACTGTCTCTTTGACACATTCCCCATTTCCATTCTCAATTTTTAAGAATGTTAGGTTCATATGAAAATAAAATCCTTTAATCTTCGTGAAAAATTAAAGAAAACATTTATTGCTTCAGTAGTACCATGTGTTGACAATTGTGATAGATAATGCAAAATGTTTCAATCATTTTACCTTACATTTCATTTCATGGACATGTAGATATGGATGGTCTGTTCTTAAATCTTAAAAATTCAAACAGAACGTATACGCATATCAATAAACTGAACTCAGTGCAAAGAACCTTAAAAGTACACTCAGACAGAGAGCTCAATCCAGTTAAATATTTTGTTATACTGGTCACATGTAACTTGAAATATCACTGTCTGTTACCAAACTGCATTGAGATCCTGAAAAAAATATGCAAATTACTTCTATTATAAGTAGAATACAAAGGAAGAAAAGAATGTTTAAATAAATGTAGAATGTGTCTATGGGCCACAGATGCCCCCGCTTGTAAATATACATGAGTCATCTTCCACATATAGATGCAGGATTCGCGTAGTTTTGACCATTTTGTGATTATAAGCATGTGTTTAAGTTTCATAACATTTGGTTGAGGCAAACTAAGGTTAGAGAACGGAAACAACAGATTAAGCATTTTTTTCTATTTTAAGGCTCCGTGTTGAAGGCCGTACTTTGAACTATAATTGTTTACTTTTTACAAATTGTGACTTGGATGGAGAGTTTTAGCATTGCTACTCGTACCACATCTTCTTACATCTAATAACTCATGAACAGTAAAAGTGACGCCACCTAATATCGAACTTGATCTGTGTTTTGGGGTATTAAGCATTGCGTATAAGGTTTATAACATTTGATGGAGGCAAACTGATGTTAGAGAACGGAAACGAAAAATTCAGCATTTTCTATGTTTATACAGGGGCATGATAACTCATGAACGGTAAAAGTGACGCCACCCAATTTCGAATTTGATTTTGTGTTTTGTGGTAATAAGCATTGTGTATAAGTTTTATTATATTTGGTTGAGGCAAACTAACGTTAGGAGAACGGAACCCATTTATTAGGACGTTCGGGACGGACGGACAAGGGTAACACTTTATGCCCCTTCCGCTACGGCGCCAACGTAGGAGTTCTGACTACTGTGCTGGTGATACCCATGGTTAAACCTCCACCAGCACTGGCATCAACCCACACACAATTTTATTATAAAAATATTCAATCTTAATTTTGATTTCTTTATTTTGGGCAAATGATTATATGCATGCCCTTCACAAGGAGTGTCAAATTTTACAAATATATTCTACATATACATTTTTGTAATATTTTAAAGCTTATTTTAGGTCAACTGATTAAAGCTTACAAACTTAAATTGTTCATCACTTTCTCTTTATATGTCTTTTTACATTCTGTTTTGAACAAAACGATTTGTTACATATACTGCACATGTATTTCTATCAAATCTGACATTATTACAAAGCCAATCAAATAAAATTCAGTCGAACTTGACAATAAATGTTCAATCAAATATATATGCAAGTCGTCAAGTGGCTAGATGCACATATCGTTGGCCAATTGAACGACATGTCCTATTTAGGCGTTTTTAAAACTTCTAGAAATATTGACGGAAATAAGGGATGAGTAGTGGAAAATAAATGAAAACGGAACGACTGATTTAAATAAAAAGGATGTTCGATATACTGTATATTTCGGTTTATTTTAAAAAAAATATACGATGCTTTATTTTTGTCCAGTTTCCTAATCAAAATAATTAAAATTAGAAGATAATTACCTTACAGCTTCATTTTCCGGCGATGCTGAAATGTTTAATGACCCACTTTATCTTTTTATTCGGATACTTGCGGATATCTTCTCAAAGTTCAACGGAAACATTAGAAAAGAACCCGGGTAGAACCAATAAGTTGGGTTGCTTTATCCAAACAACCCGGTTGTTGAACCAGTTACCATGGTTTCGAACCAAAGAACCCGGATAGAACCAAGGTTCAGAACCAAAAGACCCGGATGGAACCAAGGTTTTGAACCAGAGTGCCCGGATAGAACCTAATTGCATTCGGAAATCTCATGTTTTTTTTGTACCTTTAACGTATTTCCCAAATCATTTATTTATTTAGTATATTTATATATAATAAACCTCATATAAATAACCAGGCTTATGATTTAGTACGGCAGACGCGCTTTTCGTCTACATAAGACTTATCTGAGTCACTCTATTCAAACAGTTGGAAGGACAAATAAAATACAATATAGAAGAGCATAAAAAAACGAAAATTCCGAAAAGTTGTGCCAAATACACATATGCCATTCTATGGCTGGGTGTTAGAAATCACGAGTAATTTAATCTTTTATAAACAGTACTTTAACAGAAAATTAGAATATGATATTTCATGTCAACACAAAAGTGCTGACTTCTGGGCTGGTGATACCCTCGGGGAGTTCAATCCCGTTGAGGGACAAAAATTTGTCAGCATAAAAATCTAATTATAGGTTGCAATTCTGTAAATATAGACAATGCAATTTCCCATAGGAACTCCCTTTGCGGCTAAAACTGTGACACTTTTACTATGAAGTTTCGTGAAAAATAATATCCTAGAACGGAAAGTTTATATGCACTACTATTTTATTCAAAGGTCAAAATATAGGGCTGTGCGGCATATTTTCAACATTTATACCCAGCAAACACACAACATTTTAAAAACATTTTTTAAATGTCATATGGACGTCTCTCACAAAATATTTCAATAAGATATCATTTAAACATAAGAAAAATGTTTATTTTATTGTTTTTGAAATGTTTTATTTCTAACATTTAAGTAAAATGTTTTTACAACATTAACAAAATATTATTTGCTAATATCTTTTATTCATGTTCTCAAACATTGTTCTAAAATATCCCGTAGATATTTTATAATATAAAAAAATAATATTTTCTTCAATTGGTATTTTATATTTTAACAACATTTAAAGTAAATATTTTCCAAATATCCAAAAAACATCCTACAAAAAAATGTTTTACAGAAAATATAGTTTTGCTATTTGCATAAAATGTTTTATAATGTAAAATTAAAATGTTTTACATAAAACATCTGAAAAATATCAGCTTAATGTTTTCTATAAAATATTCTGACATACACATTACTTAATAGTCTTACTGATATTTTATTCAACATTTTACGGATATAAAAATAACATTTTATTTAAACTTTATTCAAAACCACACAAACAACGTATTGTGGAATTAGCTCGGTTTTTTTTCAGGATAAGATATAGTACTACATTTCATCAATATCATGACAAGCAAGATACTATGGTTGAAATCCTTAATTGATATCTTGAAGCTCCTTGAAGTCAGATTTTATTCCTTCTTATATTAAAATTCAAAAGAGTCAACATTAAATTAAGCAATAATGTATTAATAAACAATCACCTTTCTTTAATGTTTATTCATTTCGTTCGTGTATATTTTAGAAATTAAGAAATGAAAACTGTAACTGTACGAAGTTCAATTTTTGTATCGTTTATATGCCTGACGGAAAACCGACCTTTTCCGGAATCGACTTTTGTTTTATCACCGGAAATGATTTTTAAATTTGAATTTCGAAACGATGGCAGGATATCAACAAAGAGAGCCAAGAAAATTGTTTGTTACGCGATATATACTCACTTGGTAAGAATGATTAATCTGTTAAGATGAAATTTGTGCATTCATTGTGTGTGTTCAATCATAATCGGAAACAAATTACATCTGTTTGAACTTTCTGGAGGTGCGGATCAATGTTTTGAAAAAAGGGGGGCCCCTGCCCAAGGCAAGCAAACGTTTGGAGTGATACTTGTAAATAGTCTATACATTTATCTTATAAGTAGCTCCATAAGGGGGGTCGGGGCCCCTAAATCCGCCACTGTTCAAGCATCTACGTACAACAATTATGAATTTGTTCTTTAATATAAAAAAAATATCAGGATATGTGGCTTGTGTGTTTGATTGCCAATACACCTTATTGCTATTTGTCCACCATTACTGGCCATGGACATCACAAAAGTTCCCTTAAAAAGTTGCCGTCATATAATAATATTTGACATCACAATTGAAGGTAATACACCTTATTGCTATTTGTCCGCTATTACTGGACATCACACAACTGTCACGAGTTCCCTTAAAATTTTGACGTCATCATAAAAAATATCTGATGCCACAATGGAAAAGTGATAAGGTGTATTATTGTATGACGTATGCTGACGTAAAAAGTTCAAGCGGGACAGATTTCCAAATACTGAAATAGCGATAAGGTGTATGAGACAGCTATCCACCAGAATTTAAATGACTTGGATAAAAGAAATTATAGGTCACTGTACGGCTTTCAAAACTGAGAAAACCAATGCCATATAGTCCACTTTGAAGCCTTGACAAACAAATGTTAAATTTTTCTCAACACAATTGAAACAAAACAACTAACTGCCTACATTAAATACACATTATGAAAAAGAAATTTGACAGACTTAAACCAACAACAACTATTGCAACAAGCATGACTCAATACCTTGTTTCCGAGGCACACAAACAAGTTACAATAACACTAATATAAGCACCATTTGAATATGGAGATTTTTTTTTTCTAGTAAAATCAGTGTATGTATGTATTTGCAAAACAGTAAATTAAATTTCCCTTAACAGCTTAATGAACATTACAAAGACTATGTAAGACGTCAGTACAAGCAAAATAATATAAACTGTTGCTTAAAATTATATTTATTGCTTCATACACACAATGTACATACAATGTATCTTTTATTTTTTAACAGGAGCTAAAAGAAAAGCCACAAAGGACAAGTTCAATATGCAGGTTTACAATTTGGAAGTGGCACAGGTTCTTTGGAATGTCTACAACCTTTCAGGAGAATTTTTTTTTTGAAGTAAGATTTTCATACAGAATTACTGTTATTCCATATTTAATTCAAATATTTAGCATAAACAATGCATTACATTCAAGATTAAGGGCATACAATACAGAAAAGATATCTGGATATTTGAATACTAGTAAATTATTTTTTTTGTGACAAAATAGAAACAAGTTGTTTATTTAAATCAATCTTTTAGTCCAACAGTGTGCTTTCATAAACAACAAATATGCTTTCCTTTGAAGTATTTCAAATACATATATAAACAACTCATTTAAGTGTGTGTTTCTCGGAAGTTAAGTTATATTATTATCATCATTGCGAAAACAATGCGTAACACTTCGATAAGTTATTATGTGCCTACAATGTATAGTATCTTCTAGGACTGTATCATATGCCCTTAGATACAAATGACAAGTTATAAACTATGTCACTCTACAGAGTTTAACACTTAAAAAGGACAATAAGATGTTTAATGACATTATGTAGCAGGGCTTTTAAAGGCCCCTACATGATACAATGCATTTAATGAAAACTAAAAAAAACCAAGAAAAACAACAGCCTGATTTATACAAAACAATAAAAGAAAAAAAATATGATAGACAACAATCAACAAGTATACTATAATGAAATAAGACTCTTGACTGGACACATATCTAGTCTAAAGTTTTTTATATGTTTTTTTTTAATAACTAAATGAAGTTCAGCGTGGCACATTGCTCTCTCTTAACACGGTCAGCCATTTATCGTCCCCTTCCGACAGACTATCATCGTTATTTGTTTCAAAACTTTAAAGGGGAGGTGATGTATATCCTTCAGGCAACGTGAATCGTTCTATAATAAAGGAATGTGCAAGAAGTTTATATACGAATGTAAGATTAATTTTTTTTACAGAAGCATGGCACAGCAAGAAAAAGATATGACACTACAAGACATTCCAAGTGATTTTGAATAAGACAATTGATTGACTTTTTCAATGTATTCTTAAATAAATCAAATAGTTGATGTAAAATGGTGTTTTGTTCTCATCTCTTCAGCCAACTATCAATGATTATTGACTTAAGATGTAACCCTATTAGAAGTGTAGTGTTTTAGTTTAGAAAGAGAAGTTGTATTGAAAAATCTGAATTTGGGACACAAGTTTTAGTCAATGTAACTTGAACTTAAAAATTTGTATAATGTTTGCTTAATGTCCAATGGCATATATGTCATGCATGTTCAGGTTGACATATGCATGATGTGTATAAGATAGGTAATAAAAGTTGAGAGTGAAAAACTAAACATTATACCATTATGGTTGGAATGTGGGCTTTCTTGCACTGTCTGTCGTCTGTCCACCTATATTTGTTGTGTTTTTGTCCAACAAATATTTTCATCACTGTTTTTCCCAAAACTGCTGATAAAGATGAGTTCATATTTAATGAGCTGCTTGATAGTGATGAACTGTGATGTGAGAACATTTTTGTATCTGGCACCTGTTTCCTGTTTGCTTATACATTGTATTTCAAAATGTTGAATATTCTCAAATTTTTCATTACTTTAATTAGTAATGCTGATGAACAGAATGACTTCATATTTGGTAAGTGGCTTGATCATGATGAGTTGTGTCTGCCATTTTGGATGTGTCAAAATTTGTAGATACTTCTTGTTTTTAGAGACTTTGAATTGAATTTCATATGCTTAGCAAAACAACTGATTTATTCTTGTTTGTATATAGAATTAATTTAACTAATGATTTGTTATTTAAATAAGCAGGAAACTCAATCAAAAGTACAGAAATTTTTAGATTGATATGATCTAGATATCAACCAAAAACATCTTCTTAAAACATTTTGAAAACATTTTTTAGGCACAGTCTCACTTGCAAGAAAACATCCAAAAAACATTTTTATAACATTATTTGAGGTTCATGATGTTTTTCAAACGTTCAGAAAATATTTCTAGAAAATATTTTTTAAAAGATTATCAAAATGTTTTATACGCCATTGTTTTTCACATTATCATGATATTTCTTTACAACATTTTAATTATATTTTGCAAATATTTTAGAAAATATATTAGAAAACGTTTTAGCGATATATATTCTACCATACATTTAATGTTTTTCTGACGTTTTTTTGTGATATTTTCATGACATTAGACACAACATTTTAAAAACATTTTAAAGATGTTTTTGTGTTTGCTGGGTATGCCCTGAACTTCTAAGAGTTTAAACTTATACTAAAATTCTATACTACCCTTACCTCCATTTTTGGACCTCCTAAGAATTAAAATTTAGGCGCTACCATGTTTTTCTATACTGGTTACATTCCCAAGTGATGTCTCTATGAAATGAAACACAGAGATCAAAAATGGGAACCAGTACGTTAACAAATTAACATATCTATGAATATTATATATCTCCCCAAAAGAGGCGTGGTTTGAGAAACAGCTGTATTTACAAAGTGCAACCTATACAAACATTTATTCAAATAGAAAACTCTCTAAAAACACTTTTTCTCACAACAATACTTATTTATCAGAATTATAGCCTTAAAGAAATCACTGCATATACTCTAGTTTCCTTTTACAGTACATTTTATACCACTACCCCTGTTTCAATTTTTTAAAGAATTTGAAAACAAGACTTTAATCATTGCCAGCTTACCCTATGTGCATGTTTTCTGACATGAACTGTCTAAAACCTGTTTGAAACTATTCTGATAACAAATTGAAAGCATTTTAAAATACTTTAGATGTAATGTTTAGTAGTTAATCATTCCAACATTCAAGATTATACAAAGTATCCAATCCTGCCTGTGTCTCCAGTCCACATCTTACTGTATGCCTATTTGTCAATGAAAGTTCACAATTTCTGCCTCAAATGGTCAGTTTAGAATTCATGTTACAACAGTATCATCCCTAACCATATATCTAACATAAGTTAGTTAATATATGAACTAGAAGTGTTTAAACAAAGCCATATTTGCAAAAGTTGTATTTAAGAAGATATCAGTCTGGTGCATAAATTCACTAAAAGTTTGATAGAAATGACTGCTTACATCTTATTTTTGCATAACTTCCTAGCACAGTTATTGTTTTCTTTACAAAAGACCTTTAAAATAATAAAATCATAGCATTTAGAAGTTAAATTATCTGTTTTATGACCCAGGGGGAGGCATTTTTCTCTGTTTTTTGCCCCTGTGGCCTCACATTTCCTAAATTTTTTCCCTGTTTCTAGCAATGTGGAATATTTGGTACATATTCAGGATAGAACACACTATTTTAAGTTTTATTGAGGTCTTTTTGTAATTCTAGCTTGTACTTTTTATGCCGCAGTCACAAAAAAGCACATTTAAGTGTTATGGCTTACTTTTGGGTTATCGACAGGACAAAACACCCCACCAAAAATATTTAAGAAGGATATATGAGTTGCAATGACTGCGAAGAGTAAATATAAGCACTTCTAAACAATTTAAATTAAAAATAGGCATATATTATGAATTTATTTTTAATTCAGGGCTTTAAGTAAACAATGCATACTGTAAACTGTGAATTTATGCTGACTCATCATAGTTAAGGCCCAGGATTTTCTCAATCTTCATGAAATATTTATAAAACTTCATAATTGAGTTAAATTCTTCAAAATCTCTGAGATAAACAAGATTTTGTGAAATTGTGTATGTTCTAATTTTTAACCCTATATAGGTTGCAATTCTGTAAATATAGACAATGCAATTTCCCATAGGAACTCCCTTTGCGGCTAAAACTGTGACACTTTTACTATGAAGTTTCGTGAAAAATAATATCCTAGAACGGAAAGTTTATATGCACTACTATTTTATTCAAAGGTCAAAATATAGGGCTGTGCGGCATATTTTCAACATTTATATGCCCTGAACTTCTAAGAGTTTAAACTTATACTAAAATTCTATACTACCCTTACCTCCATTTTTGGACCTCCTAAGAATTAAAATTTAGGCGCTACCATGTTTTTCTATACTGGTTACATTCCCAAGTGATGTCTCTATGAAATGAAACACAGAGATCATAAATGGGAACCAGTACGGTAACAAATTAACATATCTATGAATATTATATATCTCCCCAAAAGAGGCGTGGTTTGAGAAACAGCTGTATTTACAAAGTGCAACCTCTAACACTGTTGGGTTTAATTTTCAGACTTATATATATATATATATATATATCAATGATATTTCATATCAACACAACAGTTTTGACTACTGGATTGGTAATAAAATTTATGAACATGTAGACTGATATTTTCATTACGTGATTACTAAAGCCAAACATGTTATGATGACGTATCTCTCTTTATTGTCATTTGGCAATTTAGTGTGTATCAAAAGGCTTTCGATCACCTGTCAAAATCATATCTTGTAATGCTGATCATTTTTATATGTTTAGTTTCTTTCCACCCATAATTGTTGTTTTAGAGATAAAAGGCAAAACTCAAAAATGAGGGCAATAATTCATATAAGGAGTCGTCCAATGGTTTTGGTCTTACACACATTTTATAGATATTCTATTTCTATTATTTCTGCTGTTTACAGATGTTGTCTTCCAATTATTGTTTTCGAGATAATTGTCAAAAACTCAAAAATTAGCCAAAAATCATTTAAGAACAATGGCTCGTATTAGGAGTCATCCAATGGTTTTGATCATATAACATTTTTTGTAGATCTCCTATTGCTGTTATCTGTTACAGTTTGCGAGATAATTGTGCTAAATTGGAAAAAAAGAAAATAAGTAAAAAATCGTGATTTCAGGGCAATAACTGCTATAAGAATTAATCTAATGTTTCCCGCCATTTGGCATTTTTGTAGCTTTTATATTGCTGATAATATTTGCTGTTTACAGTTTCTATCTTTCTATTATAATTTAAGGGATAAAAGGCCAAAACTTAAAGATTAGTAAAAAAAATCGTCATTGTTGTGTAACAACTCTTATAAGGAATCAAATGGTTTTTGTCATATAATACTTTGAGGTTTCATATCAAGATTCTTGGAAAGTATTCTGAAATACTTCAATTTCGGAGAGTAATATCGTATAGTTTTATTATTTAACTGGGTTGCATGTACATTGTATATATAATCAATAGACATATCTAATTACTTATATTATCACTGGGCAATTTGATTTAACACCCAGTCTTTGATAGAACCATGCAAAAGGCTTATAAGTGGGTCCACATGACATGTCAACCAAATGTAATGAAATTTTGCACATATGTTTTGATAGTCAAGAGAAAAAAATTCTAGCTTTAAAATTTGATTTAAGGCATATTTTAGATTTTGCAGCGCCATCTATTGGAAAGGGCTTAATTTCCCAAAAAATCCACAAAAATGTCAAAATTTTGTTACTCTGAATATGCTAGATATGGTTATGGTTAGCAGATATTTGAGTTGATTTTTATAGCAAGCTTCGTAACATGACAAAATATTTTTGCTTGAGTATAGCTATATTTTGGGTCTGACCGGTCTAAAAAGGGCATTTTGGACATTTTTTGGATACTTCCTAAAAAGGTCAACAAAAAGACAGGAAATCTTGTAAAGTACAATGCATTTTTTAATGTTTTAAATATTTCTATAAAGGTTTACATGTGTGCTACATGGATATACAGATTGATTTTTTTTTATTTTTTTCAGAAATTGCAAATTTTGACATTTTTTAACAGAATCATAGAAAAAAATCACAATCAGTTTTTTGGTCTAAACATTCACTTATGACACCTTGGTATGCTTTGTTTTATATTTTACTTTATGAAAAGAAAAGAAATATCGAAACACTTATAATGTATCAAGAGCAGAATGCTTAATTTGAAGTGTATCAAGAGCAGAATGCTTAATTTGAAGAAAAAATAGATACTTTTTAAAGATTTTAGAAAATGCATTTTTTACTGAATTATCTCCTTTTGTACAATAGAAAATCAATATTTATGGCTTCATTTATTGTAATTGTATTATCTTCATTGTTAGTTTAACTTACATTGTTAAGTATAATAATGGTTTTTACGGAAGTGTATTAGGACCATCCTTTTTTATTTATTTTTTTTCAAATTGTCGACATTAATCTTTGAATTATCAACTTTAATCTTGGAATTATCAGCTTTAATCTTGGAATTATCAACTTTTATCTTGGGATTATCAACTTTAATCTTGGAATTATCATCTTTAATCTTGGAATTATCAGCATTAATCATGGAATTATCAACTTTAATCTTGGAATTTCCAACTTAAATCTTGGAATTATCAACTTTAATCTTGGAATTTCCAATTTAAATCTTGGAATTATCAACATTTAACTTTGAAATTCCAACTTTAATCTTGGAATTATCAACTTTTATCTTAAAAATGACTGATATATTACTTCTAGTCCATAGTTTATTGTGTTTCTCCGTATACTTAATCTAATTATAATTATATTCTCGGCTACATTATTTTAATGGGTATACGTGGATATGCCAAAAATATTGGCCATAATTTTGCGAGATTTTATATTTATGACGCTACTTTTTAATGACATTCTATATTGATATGCATAGTTCTTTCATAATTTTATATTGATTTGGGGTATGTTCTACATATCTTTTATCAATATGTTATGGAAATCTTATATTAATGGCCAATTGTGGTATTTGAATCAATCAGGGACTTTATATTTACATTAAAGTATTGTAAGGTACTGGGGAATGTTATATTGAAACAAATAGGTATTAAATTGTGCGGTGTAATTTATAAGTAAATACTTAATTTGTGGCAAGATTGACAAATATTTCATAATGATTTTTTACAATTGTGGCAGTAATCCACTATACTTATTACTATGATCACAAGTCAAAATTCAAGTTTTTACCAAATATTATCTTTTAAACTTAACCGTTGTGTTCTTACGCATAGTAACTTGGCTCGCAGCGAGCAAGCGTAAAATTTTACATTTGTAATCAAAGATATGGCATTAATTTACTATTTTTTATGGATTTCACAGGCCAAAGTTTCACTTTTTGCCAATAAATTACAGGGGGAGGCATTTCATTAGCCAAAACATAGTTTTACAAGTTAGGTGTGTACATATGTTGGTTCTAGGGTGATATATATCCAGTAAAGCAACTGATTTTATGTGAAAGCTCTGGAATTTGAAATGAGTTTATCACTGTTTACATTTTTTTTGTGTACAAGTGTTACGGCAGGGAATGTATGTAATTACTCATGGGTTACCTTCTTCATGCTATATATCATGTAATTCCCGTATTAAGGATCATTTCTGGTAACCAAATATTCATATTTAAACGTCTGATATGCCTAGTATACATAGGGAAATACTTTAACTGCAATATTGTTTACTGACCGGCGATTTTGCCGTCTGCCATTTTGTGGGGAATGAAACGTTGATTTTATCTCTCTTAATACCAATTCGTCCCCTGGACAATTGATCTAATATTGTATTTTTAATACCACACATTTAATATTTTATGGTTATACCCTGCCGGACACAAATATATTGTAAATATTTAGATGGTTGTAATGAACTATGTTATATGTTATTTACTTTGTATGTTCTTACGCAGATCGTCTGCTAAATCAATGCGCGCGCAGTGGTGTCCGATTGTTTATTTCAAGCTTCTTTATCGATATTTTAGATGCTATAGCTTTGTTTTAATATTTTATGTATAAGGACAATCTTCGGACAACTCAAGGTGATATGTATATTATGTTTTTCATTATCTGAAATTTGTATAGTTCCGGCTACCAGGAAAGGACAAGTAACTATTGGATTAGTATGTCACGTGACACTTATGACTTTTGTATATAAACGCGTGAGCATTCAGTAATGGCAGATAGCCCAAAGTTCTGATGGCGGCAAGTTCAAAAAGTTCACTATCATTAAAATTGTAAACAAAGCAGTAAAAATAAGCTTAAGGTGAGCATAAGGATAAATATGGAATATAAGTAGCCGTCTTTTTGTAGAGTAAGCTATCTCCCACCACGTCGGACACCACAAATATGAATTTAGATCGTAATTTAGTTCCTATGCACTATGATATATTGTACTGTATGCAAGTATTAGAATTGTCATAATTCGTTATTTATTCAAATATATTTATAAACAGTTCCACAAATAAAACTGTTAACATTGAAATGATATTCTATCTTTATCAATCTTGGATACATATAAAAAGGAATATGCATTTACACTGGTAAAACAACTTGAGCTGGAGGACGCTCGTTCGAAATTAAAAACTATGGAATGCCGTTAGCAACACAAATAGCACAGTAACAAATAAATACAAAGGAAGCCGTTTAATACACATACAGTAACCAAACAGAGGAACTATATTTAAACACAAACTGAGGTGCTCCGGGGAGCAGATACTGCATTTTATGAGTGTTCGTATGTAAACTGCCCAGTATAGGACAGGATACTCTCGGGTGGCTTACGGTATTGTACACAAGTAAAGGTCATTCTTTGTATATATTTTGTTACATATATGTGACTAGTCATGACATATCCAGACTTATGAACCCGGATTTTTTTTTATCTTTATCGATTTATGAGTTTCGAACAGCGGTATACTACTGTTGCCTTTATTTATGGAGGTAGAACGTCATTGTGAGAAAAACGTGGTTAACTATATGTGACTAGCCACTTCCAGGCTAAAGAGGGTACATTGTCTAAAATTTGCTTTTTTGTATATTTATCTAGAATATTCGAAACAAAACTCTCTGTCATGTTATTATGACATATTTGTTGTAATAGCAATGAAACGAGTCATTTCGAATACCGGTATGAAAATGAGAATGTTCTATAACGACTTTTATTTATCGAAGGCACTAATTTTGTAAAATACAAAATCATTGTATTTATTGGCGCTTAGTAATGTTCAATAGCGTATTTGAATAAAATTCAAAGAATTAAATTTACTACAATACAAACAATTCTTAGCTCTATTATAGAACATGTAATTTAAACTTGTTGAAATGAAGTAATTTTAAATTTGTCAAAGTAAGCCATAAGAAGTCCTTTTTTTAAATTGTCTTTTAATTTAGATTTATAATGCATGTCTCTATACATAGTATGCGACGATTAACAGTGTATAAGTAGGTGTTCTCATATGATTTGATACGGTGCATTTATTATGGATATATTTCAGACTCCATTTATGAATGAAGATCTATAGAGCAGAGAATTTTGATTTTTTTGTAGCTCTATTTTAGAACATGTAATTTAAACTTGTTGAAATGAAGTTAGTTTAAAATTTGTCAAAGTAAGCTTTAAGAATTCCTTTCTTTAGATTTGTCTTTTAATTTAGATTTATTATGCATGTCTCTATACATAGTATGCGACGCGTAACAGTTTATAAGTAGGTGTTATCTTATATGCATTTGATACGGTGCATTTATTATGGATAAATTTCAGACTCCATTTATGAAAGAAAATCTATAGAGCAGAGAATTTTGTTTTTTTGTATCAATTTAAAATGTAGATTCAAATATTTTTTACTTCAAACGATACAGTAAAACTTCTTCAAAATTTTCTTATATATGATGTATAGTTCGGCGTCCGCAAAAAAAGAAGCCAAGGGAAGTGTTTATCTCTTCTATACAAATACGTATTCGATTGAATCTCGATATTTATCATGTTTAAAATTTTTAACAATGACGTTCTACCTCCATAAGCCTGGAAATGTCATGGCGGGTAACAATTTTTATACCTAAATAAAGGTACCAAATATTAGTTAATATTATATTAAAATAGGTACATTGTTTTAGACAAACATAGCACACAACTACCAAACAAATTCAACTTTAATCTTGGAATTTTAAACTTTAATCTTGGAATTTCCAACTTTAATCTTGGAATTATCAACTTTAATCTTGGAATTATCAACATTAAAGTTTGAATTTCCAAGATTAATGTTGATAATTCCAAGATTAAAGTTGATCATTCTAAGATTAAAGTTGGAAATTCCAAGATTAAAGTTGATAATTCCAAGATTAATGTTGATAATTCCAAGATTAAAGCTGAAAATTCCAAGATTAAAGTCGACAATTTGAAAAATAAATAAATAAAAAAGTATGGCCCTAATACGCTTCCGTAGGTTTTTAAAAAGTAAAATTTATATATTTCCAAAATTATCTACAGATTGATATTTCAAATTTATTGATTCTGTAAGAGAAATTGTAAATTTGGACATTATTAAAGGAGAATTCTAAAAAGAATTAAAACAAGAGTCAACCAATCGTATATGCTTAAATGCGTTCTTAACTCTGACACTTAAAATAACCAAATAGAGATATGTTTATAATTTAATGAACAGAGAACTGGTAAGTTTAAAAAAAATGTGATTTTAAGATTTTTTAAAATGCATTTTTACTGGATTATCTCCCTTTGTACCATAGAAATTCAATATTTATGGCATCATAAATTGTATTTGAACTATGGTCATCGTTACTTTGACTTATTTTGTGAAATGTTATAGTGCTTTTGAAAAAGAAACACTTACATTTCCAAAATTATCTACAGAATACCTTTCTTAAAATGATTGATTTATTGAGAGAAAATGTAAATTTAGGCATTTTTAGATTAGAATTTTAGAATGTACTACAATGAGACCCCAGCAAGTTTACTAGCTAAAATGCATAATTAAGTATTCCAATTGATAAAACATAGGGAGTTATCTTTATATTTTTAATGGACCAAAGACTAGATAATTTTAAAAATACGTACTTTTTATGATTTTCTGAAAATATCTTTTTTTACTGGGTTATCTCCCTGGGAATAATCCACAAACTGTTTCTCGTAAATTCAAGTACTGATGAAGTAATAAAGCTTCAACACTTTATTATTCAATAAATCATCGTTCTTTATCTCGTTGTTTTCTGCATTCATAAGTTTCAGGGTGTTGAAATTGGTCATTTTCATAGAAAAATACTGCCTCCAACATGGGGAAACTGGTTCCCGGTACATTACAGCATTTCCTAACTGAAAGGCATGGGAACCAGCTGAAATATTTGTTTTATGGACTTCTTTCATAATGTTGTTTAAGCACACAAAGTTTCAATTAAATCTGATGACCCCCCCCCCCCCCGCCCTTGTGGACTGTTTTGCATGTTTTTATGGTAGACTGGGTGTTAAAGCATGAATTAAGATGTAATATATGTTAACAAAATACATATCCACGGTTGGTTAGGTTGCATGTCCTGCGAGAGAATGGTTTGTGCTGGCAATAAATGCACGGCTGTCATTCGGTACATCGAGAGAAATGATCGTGAAAGAATAAGTAACGGTGTTCAAATTGGATCGTGAAAGACCTGGTATAGGATTGTGAAGGAAATCTTATCGAGAGGACACGTGTAAGGTCAATAAAAAATCTAAATTTAATGAGTTATAATGACAAATTTCGGAAAAATAAAACTGTCTGTAAAAATGGTTCAACATTATGATCAGTATCTGAGAAAAATCAAGTTTCAAAAGTACACCGTTTTTACAAAACTACAAAAGGCAAATTGCTCATCGACATTTCAGAGACAGCAAATGTAAACAAACATGATTTGTTTTCATATTTTGAATGCATAAACTACTTTTCTCTTAAAAGTATCGTTCCATATTACTGGTTCTTAAAGTTATTTTGTTTTGGTCTAATCAGAAACTTTGAAAAAATGGGAATATTTGTAAAAAATTGATATTTCGGATCGTGAAAGATCGGGTACCGCTTTTTGATGATCGTGAAAAGGATCGCGAAAGGTCTGTTGCCGCTCATTCGTTATTGCAAAATTCAACGAAAACGATCAAATCATTCTTTGAAGGGGTGACATGATAATTTATATTTGTAATCGGTATGGCAAAAGATTGGATTTGTATGACTTATTCCGCTTCACTTTTGTTTGTGAATAGGGCTATGATGGTTCAATGCCATTGGATCTGATTATTTGATAATACCATATCGACTAGTTGCCTTGTAATAATATAAGTCCATCTACCCGTCCTGTATAAGTTTTATGTCGTATGAAAAGTTCAGATTGTCTCATCTGATTTCTATTAATTTTTATGCACAGTCATCTATACTATTAAATGAGAAGACCTCATTTTGTGTGGCTTCTCTTCCTTCCCCAATAAATTAATCATCATGCCTTTGTGTCCTATAGGTACCATGCATAGTCGCATTTGTCATCCTCGCTTATGATTATTCCGTTTAGGTTATTTTGGGAGGAAAACGAAAATAAAGGCGTCCGGATATTGTTTCCGTCATCGGACGGACTTTTAAGTCATAGACAAGACTTCCGTTTAGGACTGTTTAAAATTACACATAATTTTCACAGGTACTTGGGGGACAGGACAATTATTTTCGCTTTTTCTGTATACTATGAACATACATATACTATAAATAAAGTGTACATTGTATTTGATATTTACTATCAATTCCAAGTTAACTATCAACGGCGGTCATGTATTATATAGAGATTATAGTATATGTCTGTTCATAGTATACAGAAAAACACGAAAATAATTGAAACTAATAGAAAACAAAAAAAAATAACGGATTTTGAAAAAAAGGGGAGGGCTAAAAAATTGTCCTGTCCCCAAGTACCTATTACTTTTGATACCTTTCCTGAAATTCTCCAGTCATAAAATCCCAAAAGTTTTACAAAAATTCATCCTACAACAGTTTACATA